TGTTAGTAAACCTTGAATGGATCTGGCCGCACTTTCTGGATTGATCCGGTCCAGAAATAATTGGAGATTGAGAAGTAATACGGATTTCAGACATAGACTTCGGAAACATCCGGCAGGAACTGGTCCAGCAGGGCATATTCATGAGTCTAAACCTACTCCTCTCTCCCTCCTCCCCCTCAACCCAACACTCAACCAACAATCCTCAACCACAACCTCAACCTAACCTAATCAACTTTTCGAATGTCAATTTTATGTGGTCACCCTTATTTATGTATTATAAGTAGGAATTATCAATCTAGATGAGGAAACTTTTGCTTGATTACCCTATATAGGGGCTTGAATTTATTAAATTAATTATTCTTTTTGTATGTACATCTTTATACATTTATATACAATTATGTACAATTTTTTGATTACATAAGAAAATTAAAAAATATTTTTACATATAATATCACTAAAATTTTTTAAAATTTTACAAAATTTAATTTAAAAATGTTTGACGTTTCTAAGTTTGTTTTTAATGACAGAACAAATAAACTTGGAATTTTGCTTAAATTAGGAACATTTGAAAGTTATGAATTAATTTTGTAAATTTTTTAAAATATTTTAGCGACAAATTTTTTTGTATTTTTGTGTTTTTTGTGTTTTTTTGTGTTTTTTGTGTTTTCTTGTGTTTTTTTTGTATTTTTGTGTTTTTTGTGTATTTTTGTGTTTTTTGTGTTTTTTTGTGTTTTTTGTGTTTTCTTGTGTTTTTTTGTATTTTTGTGTTTTTTGTGTTTTCTTGTGTTTTTGTGTTTTTTTGTGTTTTTTTGTGTTTTTTGTATTTTTGTGTTTTTTTGTGTTTTTTGTGTTTTCTTGTGTTTTTTTGTATTTTTGTGTTTTTTGTGTTTTTTTGTATTTTTGTGTTTTTTTGTGTTTTTTGTATTTTTGTGTTTTTTGTGTTTTCTTGTGTTTTTTTGTATTTTTGTGTTTTTTGTGTTTTTTTGTATTTTTGTGTTTTTTGTGTTTTCTTGTGTTTTTGTGTTTTTTGTGTTTTTTTGTGTTTTTTGTATTTTTGTGTTTTTTGTGTTTTTTTGTATTTTTGTGTTTTTTGTGTTTTCTTGTGTTTTTTTGTATTTTTGTGTTTTATTGTGTTTTTTTGTATTTTTGTGTTTTCTTGTGTTTTTGTGTTTTTTTGTGTTTTCTTGTGTTTTTTTGTATTTTTTTGTATTTTTGTGTTTTCTGTGTTTTTTGTGTTTTTCTGCCCTTTTAACAGTAATCCTTCAATACTATTCCATAGTATAATTTTCACTAATATCATTACTTCCATCACCTACTGTAAAAATAATCCTAACATAACCCCCAATTGTGTGTACATTCTCGTAGTCTGCATTAGCTCGAAACTGTGGAAATATATTATTTGCAATTCGATTTGTAACTTGTTGTTCAATATCCATAAAACCTGGTTGATGTTCTTGATGTACTGAAGAAATAATAATTAATTTTATTAAATTAAAATTGGAATCTTTTAAAATGGCAATACGCAAAATCCTATTTTTTAGCTCTGCTTTGTTCGCTGATTCTGACACCTGTTTATATTTGGGATATATACCAGGGCTCGATCAGATTATCCGATAACCAAACTAATTTTTGATTCGAAACTCGTATAATGAAATCAAAAGAAAATTTTCGACGACACTGTCCATTACTGATATACATCACTCTTAAGATCAGCAAAAAAATTTGGCGGTCATGACTGTCCATAGATAACGATTGCACGATTTTTTTATTTGCGGATTTTTTCTTCGATTGACAAAATCCTAGTAATTATTCATGAGAATCACTAAATATTAGGAATATGCCACCCAATTTGCAAAATTTTAATAATTACTACCTGTATTTAATAGGTGGAAAGTAGTTTCCGCTGATAATAATTTATTTACCCCTTGATTTATTTTCTCTGGATAGTAGGCACAAACTTGTTGGTATTTTACTAAATCGAGTTCCAATCTAAATAAAAGGAAATTTAAAAATATTTTTATTTTATATTTTGAATTTCGAAAAGTGATATTTAGTTTCAAGGATGTCACTTAAGCACGGACTTGTTGGTATTTTAATAAATCGAGCCTCTGTCTTGCGCGATTTTAGATAATTTTTTAAGTTTGGGGTTTTTAAAGTTTTTAAAACACTGGTGGAACAACAATTCACTGGAAATTGAGATACCTTCCATTTTATCAATTATTTTTTAAAAAAACTATTACTTATCTTTGCCTCGATTGGGTCATATAAGAACGAAATCTGACTTTATTAATATAATAATTTTCATAAAAAATACCCTATACTTCTAACAAGCTGAACATAAGTATATTGTAGCTGATGGTTATTTTCATGCAAAAACGTTGATGTTACTTCCCATGCTTCCCCCATCAAATTTAAAAAGATATACAAGTTTTTCTCTCCTTGTGTAGGTTCAAGTAATTCATTCAAAAGATTAGTTAAATTATGGCCTTGATTACTTAAAAATTGGTTCAATAATTATTATTATATTGTTCATTATTTCTTAAATACTTAGCGTTAAACAAGGGCGCGTGCATCGGTTTATTTTTGACGAAAATTACTCACAAAGAATTGGGGAATTTTTGGTTTTTTAGCCCTCCAATGCGTTTAGCTTAAATAATTTTTAGTCTTTTAGTATTTCTCATACGCCCCTTCCATGTGTGAACCGAGTCATTCTCTCCAAACTCTTAACATTCGGTCCCGAAAGTGTAGTATCATTGGGATTACATAGTATACCCAGTTCAAAATGATATATAGTGTGGCTTTCCATGGCTTTAAGCCTTTCCATGGCTTTAAGCCTTTCCATGGCTTTAAGTGTGGCTTTCCATGGCTTAAAGCCTTTCCATGGCTTTAAGCTTTCCATGGCTTTTTTCCATGGCTTTAAGCTTGCTAGAACCTTATTGCCTCTAAAAACAAATAATTACTTTATCTCCCGCAACATTAATTTGTTCACATCATCCGGGCCGGATATACGATATTTAGTAAGAATTTGATTGGCTACCGCCTCACTATTTAAGTTTACCGTGAGGTCTTGGTATCTTTTAAATATGAATTGATATTTATCTTCACTTTTGAACGTGAACATATTGGTTTTGAGCTGGTGTATTGCCTCGGCAAGGTTGTTTTCGTATTTTGTAATTAACTTAAAACGATTAGAAAGATTATATGTTTCTTAAACAAAAATTTCAAGGAGACATGTTTTTTAACAAAATCAAATCGGAATCAAGTTTAGCTTAGAGGTGTATCTGATAATTTTGAGTTATAGTAAATTGGATGAACCGAGAGTTGAAAATGGGTCCAGATATTGGAATCGACCTTTGAGAGGGGATTGGAAAATAGAGCGACCGGCTTCTCTATTAGAGAAAATACGGTAAAAGTACAAACATTTCCAATTTTGATTGTAAAATGTTTAATGTTATGCCCAATTATTGGTGAATTCACGTTGATTTGTCTGTGCTCTATTATGTGGCTTCTTGTTGTTAAAAGGAGTTGTTGAATGGACATATCATTCCGTTCCACGTCAGTATCCTCAACCAGCTCCAAACTTCTAATCAGAAAGGACAGCTCGGTGAGGGTAAGTGCATTTGTGCTATTCATAAGAACTTGTCCTCCAGTTTTGAGTATCTCTATGAAGGTTTTATAATTGGGAAATACTTGGGATAGGAGACTAACGAGTATAGGAGACTAACGAGTATAGGAGACTAACGAATCTCCTATCCTATTTGTATCTAGGATTTTGCCTAGTTTAATGATAATAATACTTGGATGAGACGACTTGGAAGATTCTCCCGCTTTCTTCATTCCTTCAACCAAATCTCGAGGCAATGTTCCAACAAAGAACAACAAAAAATGGGTTATAATAAGGGAACGAATAAACATTTTAACAAAGTTTTTGTTAGATTCTATATAAAAATTGAAAGTTTTAAAAATTAGTTTTTGGCTATGGAAGTCTAAAATTGCCTTTAGCCTTACTCCTATTCCAACTATATCTCTCTATTTCCCTCAATATCCATCCCAAATCCCCCTATATCCCTCTTAATACCAGAATCCCTCCAAATCCTTCGATATCCATCTAAATTACCGGTTATTTCTCTTAATCACTCGATTATTATAAAACAATTCTTAGGACTGAAGAAGTAAGTTCCCGATTTTGACAAAGAAAAATTAATATTAAAATTGCTTTGAAGGATTTCTTTAGAATTAACTTTTAAATTTAAAATTAAATATGTCAGGCAATAAATAAAATTAATTAAAATTAAATATTGGCTAAATAGGCAGGTAAATTCAAATGATTGCCTGTAAAACTGCCAGCTTATAAATCCTTCCCTCCATAATAGTGTAAATAAATATGTACATATAGGGGAAGGAATCGAGAACATTTAATTGATTTTCTCTAGCATAGAGGTCTAATTCTTGGGGCCTGAATGAGAATGCGAGCGCCTTTATTAATGCATGTGATAAATGAATCAATCAGAATTGAATTTTGAAATTGCCTTGAAGATCAAATCCGGGATCGGTAAAAAACTTCTCTCAGGATCAGCAAAATCGGGAACGGAATTCAAAAAAACCGGGATAATCACGATCCCGTCGAACTCAAGTTTTATTAATGAACAAACTTTTTCATGAATTTTTTTTTTGAAAAATTGGGTATAGCAGAATTTTCAAAACATATTTTAAACACAAAAATAATACATATTTAATTAAAATTTATGGTTTTAAATGTAAGAGGAATTGCAGGCTTTTACTCATTCTATTACAGTAAATGTTTTGCCCACACTCAAAAGTTTGCGCTCAACTGTCCTTTATTGAAAAATGACATTTGATCCCAATTTTTTCTTAAACTGTCACTCTCGTCTCTTTTCCCTATTATCTCTATCTTTTGTTTGTTTGGAAAAAGTTTTTTTTGTTTTATAATTTTTCGAAATTTTAGAAATTATGTCAGTTTATTTTAATTTTTAGGTTAATTTGTTTCAAAAAATATGAATAATCGTGGTAAGGACAAACAACAAAATACTCAAGACCAAACAAATGCGACTAAAGAAAATAATCAAAAGGTTTTTAAATTTCTTTAAATTTATAAGGTCTAATTCCAAATTTTTAGTCCAATCAACATTCACGGAGACAGAATAATCAGAGCAATCAAAACAACCAACAAGCCGGACAAACCTCTCGTGGAAACCAACAACAATTTCATAGAAGAGATTTTCGACAACAAAAATGGCAGCAAAATCGAGATAGAGCTAAGCAATTTAAGACTGCTAAAACTAAGGTTCTTTTTTCTTGTTCGATAGATTTTTAATTTTTTGGGTCTTGACTTATTTTTATACTCGGTTCTCTTTTTTGCCTTAATTACGGTTTTTAATTTTAAGTAAGGTAGCAACCCAACGAGTGGGTGCGATTGTGTCGGGGATTGCCGGGGAAGGCATGTTGGTGTTCGAGGTTGGGGTTTTTGACAAAAAATCCGTCGGGGTTTCGGAGGTCGGGTTGCTACCCTAATTTTAAGTTTTACTACTTTGATGCTTACAATTTTCTCCCTAGTATTCTAGTGAGATCCTCTAACCTTCCCATACTTCTTGGGCTCTCTATTTTCTGTCCAGTTCACTTCAAAATACTTCTCGAACCTTCAATTATTTTTTAATATTTTTAGGAACGTACAGATCATGCAGGGATTCCCATGATTGGTGAAATTAGCGACTGTTTAATTTGTTGTCAACGTTCCGATCTTTTTGGACTGGGGGAGTGCATGCATCCGGTTTCTTTTTTGTTTTAATTGGAATTGTTTCTAATTTATTTTCTAGATTTGTATGGAATGCTCACTTCGTATCCGCGTGATTGGGGAAACAAAACAATGCCCACAGTGTCGGACTGATATCCCTATTGTATTTTTAAATTTTTTATTTTGTGGGGTTAAATGGTGAGGGTTTTAGAGATCAGTCTGTATTAGGTTGGTAACTTGAGTTTTTCGGAATCCCCCTTTTGTGGACTTGATCTGAATCTGAATTTAGTCTTTATTTTTCTGAATCTGGAATCAATATCAAATCGTTTTCTTAACGCATTGATTTTTCCTTGATTTGGGATCAAGAATTTGTGTTAGGGTATCCGTTTGAAGCAAATTCATATTTTTTTAAGATTTTCTGTCTTTCTATTTTTAAGTCATCTCCGTGTCAAAGTCCTTTACTAGCTTTGGTCCCCTCCCTTGAAAGTCGGAGACCGACCCTTTTCCTTACATATTTGGGCTTTTCATTTATTTTCCCCCTCAATTTTCACTTTTCTATTTCCCTTTCAATTTTACAGCTTTATTATGTATCCGCTCCTCCTGGGCAAAAACTTCTTTTAAAGCTGCCTTCCAATTGTATTGACCATGCCGAATATGAAGCTAAATATTCTGTCCGTTTTGATTCAAAATATGCCCTGGAATGTTTTGATTCTTATATGGCAAATCGTTGCAATGAATGCATTAAAAGGTTTTTTTTATTTTTAGTTGTTTATATTAGTTTCTAATTTTAGTGGACAACGTGTGGAGTTTGGAACTTTTGCCGAACTTAGGTCGCATATGAGTCAAGATCATCATCTTTCTTTCTGCCGAATTTGCTGTGATAATTTAAACGTATATATTATCTTATTTTTATTTTATATGATGGAAGAGGGGGTTGTTTGCCGAACTTAGGTCGCTTTGGGTGTTAATTTAGGCGTTCCCAACACCAGTGTTTCAGTACCTGTATGTTTGCTTTTTTAGCTCATTTTTATTGACGCTGCCGAAATTTTTTTTCAATTTCTGAAAGCCAGGACCTTGGCAGTTTCCCATAGGCTTCGATTTGTTTAAACGACCGTCATCAACTTTATTTTTACTTCTATACCAATTTTAGGTCCTCATAAAAGACCGTCATGTATATACTCGTGAAACACTTCAATTACATATGAATGGAAAGCTCAAATCTGAACAAGATGGATTTAGAGGTTTCTCTTATTTTTTTCTATTATTTGACAATTTTTCAAAAAAAGGTCACCCAACGTGCAATTTTTGTGAAGAACGTTTTTATGATGATGAACAGCAATATCGGCATTTACGTAAAGAACACTATTTTTGTCAGTTTTGTCATCAAGAAGGGCTTGAAAACAATGTGTTTTATAGGTAAGGTTAAAGAAAAATTTTTTTTGGAATTTTTTTTCGAAATTTTTTTGCGAATTTCGATTAATTTTATAAATCCACTTTTTTTGTTTTCTTTTTAATTTCTCTTATAAAAATATCCCCTGACTCAGTTTTCTTACTAAATTCAAATTTTCATTTTAAAGGAATCAACACCAACTTAATCAACATAATCGTCGATTTCATCATCCTTGTCTAGACCAAGAATGTTTACAAATGGGAATTGTTTTTGTTTCTGACGTTGAATTGAATGTTCATAAGGTTGTTAATTTAAATAAAAATTTTTGAAAAATTTTTTGAAAAAAAAATTTTAGGCCAAACAGCACCATCGACTTACACAAAATGGGAGTGGATCTAGTCGTGGAGGCACTATCCCATTAGAATTTCATTTTGTCCATAGTCGTGGAGGTGGAAGTTCTTCACGTCAAATGCAAAATGAAGATAATTTGCCTGTTGAACAACAAGTTCAGCAGAAACCGAGCAGGTTTTTTTTAAGATTTTTTAAAATTTAAGCGAAAAAAATTTTTTTCCAGTCAAACTGTTCGTATTGTTCCTAGCGCTCAAAGTCAACAACAAAATGTAAAAATTGTTAAATCGTCTTATACGAATCCACTTCAGTCGACGGATAATTTTCCAAGTTTGACTACTTCTGATCAACAAAATGCGTCTTTTGTTCCATATGGTGCTCCTCCGGGATTTGAACAAATTTTAGCAACGAATAATTTTAATGTTAAAAATAAGGTTTTGGGGGTTTTTTTATTTTTTTGAGGCCTGAAAATTCGAAAAAAAAATTTTTTTGATCGTTAATTCGTGGTGAGGATTTTTGGGGGGAGGTGGGGTTCTTTTTGCCTATTGTGAGGATTTTTCTTAATTACTCGGCATTAAATTAAAATTTTTTCCTTTTTTTAGGCCTCTGGACAACAAAATGGACTATTAACAACCAGCCAATTGCCTTTAACTTCTGCTGAGCAATTTCCTTCGTTGGGTGGTACAAGTGGAAGTGGCAATAACAACACAGGCAGCAAAACTAATAAAGATGCTCTTTATGCAACTGTTTGGGGACAAAAATCGAATAAAGATTTGGTAAAAATTTTTTGAATTTTGGCTTAAAATTTTTTTTTTAATTTTTCAAGTTCAATCCGAAGAAAGATTATAAATTAAATATAAAGAAGGAAGACGAACCTAAACGCCAAGCTTTTGTGCCTGCACCAGATTGTTGGCCAGAACATATGTTAAAGAAATTGAAGGCGCGTGAATTGGGACTTCCCGATCCGGAACCGATTGAACCGCCTAGTTGGTTAAATCCGCCGAAGAAGGAGAAAAAGAGAAAAGTTTGTGTTTTGTTATTACAGTCGGATCTCATTATGAGATATTCTTGCAAATAGAGACCTCAATTTATACGTTTTTTTGTAATTTGTTGACCTCAGGGTGAGGGTGCTGCCTGAGCGATACCTCTTTAAATTTACCTTGTTTCATGTAAAATAACATTTTCGGAACTTCTCTAGTTTATGCACACACCCCAGGTATGTCCGTCCTAAACTCCAGCGAGACATATGCCACAGTGAATAAATGGGAGGGGGAATACCTAAACAGAAAGTTTCCCAATTTTCCTGCCCCAAAACTGTATCTTATAATGAAGTCCGACTTTACTTAACAAACGCCTTATAAATTGTTTAAAATTTTTTTTCAAGACAAAAACGGTAACTGCAGCATCACTTATGAATCGTTTAGCTGCAACAGAAATGTCTGAATTAGCCTCATCCTCTTCAAAATTTAATTCATTGTCTGCCTATGATGAAGCAAAAAATGACAAGAAAAGTTAAATTTTTTTAAATATTATATTTTATATATTTCGAGACAAAAATACTACTAGTAGTAGAGTGAAATTTACTTCTATATTTTGTAAAAGTTGTTTTTTTTGGATAAATTTTATTGGGGGAAAAATTATTTAAATTTAGGAAAATATTTTAAAAAAATTTTTTTGGAATTGAATTACAAAGGGACATTCATTCTTTTCGCTCCAACCCATAATTAGATGTTCCCCATGTTTCCATACTTTTTCTATTAAAGCACAAATCCAACAGTGCCTTCGGTATTGTTTTTTCATGCCGACCATAATCTTGTACATTACCCACATAAGTTAGTAACATTATATGGTGTCGTGCAACATTAAAACAAATTTCAATTAGTCGGAGTATATCTGTATATCTTCTTGCGCCTTGTAGGGGCCCATGACGATTCTGTTAATTTTTTTTGGACTTATTCAATATAAGTGTCAGGATTGAAAAGAGAATCTAGGTTTTTGTAAAGGCGTACGTTTGGGTCGAAAAAATTCTGTCTTATGCGGATAACCGGGACAAACCTTTCAATAATAAGCCGAGTTTACTTGGACTATTTGAAAGTGTGGGGGGGGGGGGGGGGTATTTATTTGGGGGATTTGGAAATTGCCTTGATGAGAGAGTCAGAGAGACCATCTATCACACACCTGTAACATTATTATCAATATTCTTGCATAATTCTCAGCCTCAATTTGCAACAACTGTTTACCATGATGGCTTAACCCCTCTGTTACCATATGCGAATAAATTAAAGCCCGTATAAGAACGTATTCCTCGTCGGAGAGTTGCAGTTGAGTGAAAGGCTCCATGCTATCCAGAAACACTCTTTTGACATAATTCTTTACTCTTAATTAAAAATCAAATTTTTAAAATATTTTTCTTTATATAGTTGGGTCTTACTATCCTATGGGCACTCCCACCCGTTGGGTATACTTTAACTTACGTTAAATCCCCATTATAATGTTCTCCACTAAAGCAGTCAAATAACGATATCCCACAAGGCAAGGTAACTGTTTCGCATTTTTTGCTGCAAGAAAATTGCCGTTCAACAAGTACGACGAGAGGCATAGCAATGGATGTAAGAAGACAAATCTGTGATAAAAAAATTTTTTTTAATTCCTCGAAGTTTCCATTTACCTTATCAGATAAATACATTTTGTTAAAGAAAGGTAATGTTTTTGCAAAATCAACAATTAAAAGTAAATCTTCGGTCAGTGTTGAGGGTCGTAATGCGAACGGTCCATTTTTTAGAATAAACGAAAATGTTTCTGGCACATGCAAATGTTTTTCATTCTTAAAAATACAAGGAATATTTATTTATCATTTAATTCAGAAACCGTATATTCTTGGCTTGTTGTAAGCAAATTTTCAGTTCTTGTAAGCAATATTTCCAGTGAATTGCAAGGATACCCATAATGCCACTCAGGAACATTTACTCTTGAATTTCTAATTTGACGAGCTTTTTTGTCTACTAAGAGTAGAACTTCAATGATTTGAGTATCCTGTCCAATTGTTATTGGTGTTTCCTTAAAAAATAAACTTAATTAAATTTGAATATACATAGCTAAATAATCTATACAATATTAAAGGAACTTTTCTATTTAATTAAAATAAACTTTAATTCCTAGATATACTTGATTTTTAAGAATAAACTTGAATATTAAGATAAACTTGAATATTAAAATAAACTTGAATATTAAAATAAACTTGATTTTTAAGTATAAACTTGAAAATAAAATAAACTTGAATTTTTAGATATACTTGATTTTTAAGAATAAACTTGAATATTAAAAAAACTTGATTTTTAAGAATAAACTTGAATATTAAAATAAACTTGAATATTAAAATAAACTTGAATGTTAAAATAAACTTGATTTTTAAGTATAAACTTGAATTTTTAGATATACTTGATTTTTAAGAATAAACTTGAATATTAAAATAAACTTGATTTTTAAGAAAAGACATAAATAAAATAAACTCGAATATTAAAATACATAAACTTTATTTTTAAGAATAAACTTTAAAATAAATAAACTTGAATTTTTAGATATACTTGATTTTTAAGAATAAACTTGAATATTAAAATAAACTTGATTTTTAAGAATAAACTGATAAATAAAATAAACTTGAATTTTTACGATAAACATGATTTTTAAGAGTAAACTTGAGAAACTTAAATTTTTTGATAAACTTGAATATTAAAATGAACTTGATTTTTAGGAATAAACATGAAACTAAATAAACATGGTTTTTAAGATAAACTTGAATATTAAAATAAACATTTAGGTATATTCAAATACACTTGATTTTTCTAATAAACTTGAGTATGAAACGCTTAAGTCTAATGTTTATTAATTATTTTTACCGCAACAGAATTTGCTACTTCAAACGCATTTTTTTCAATATGTTCCTTAACAGCTTTTCCTTGAAGAATTAGATATTTAAGTCTATTTTTAATATGTGTATGTGTTTCCATAAAAGCTTCAGCATTGTTTCCTCGTAAAGTCATTACATTCATTCCTGCCAAAATGCATTTATCAAAACGGCAACTTTTACATTTTAAGGATCCTTAAAATTTTATTAAATTAAATTAATTTTATTATTATTTGTTCACCTTTAAAAACATCACAATCTCCATTATTGTTACATTTAAACATATTTTTGTTAGAAATACAGCGACGAAAAAAGTGTTTACAACCTGATAAAATGGTTTTAAAATATTAAATCTTTTAAGTAAGTTTGTAAGTATATAGAAACTAAGCTCTAACATTAAGTTCGATCTTAATTTTAAGCATTTCTATTTAATATTTAAGTTTTAAGTTTAAGCTTAATAAACTTTATTAAAGTTTATAAACTTGATTCTAAGTTCGATCTAAAAAATAAACACCTTTAAACTTGATTTTAAGTTCGATCTTAAATAAGTTTCTATTTAGTATTTTAAGTTTAAGCTTAATAAACTTTGGTAAAGTTTATAAACTTGATTCTAAGTTCGATCTTAAATATTTAAGTTTATTCTCAAATAGTTTATAATATTTTTCTCATGTATAATTAATTAATTTACCATCACAACACATAGCATTATAAAATACATATCCACTGGCTATATGTCCACAAACGGTACAATTTGTTGGAAATGCGCGTTTTTTCTTACCATTTTTTGAAACCGAAGAATTTTCGGATTTAGTGAGTCCTTCATTAATCCCCCTAGTTTCTTCTTCATTATCATTATATTTTTGCTTATCTACAAAAGATTCATTATTTATTCTGTTAATATTTCCTTTTTCTAATATTTCGGTATTCAAGTTGTTGAAGAAATAAAAGTCTGACATTTTTTATTTTAAAGTTTTCTATAACTAACAAGATTTTTGAATTTTAAAATCCGAGAGGAAATATTAAATAATTTTTTTAAGGGAGTAAAATAGTAGACAAGACAGTCAGGTCTATAGTGATTGGTAAATTTATTCGAAAACTATGAGCGATATTTTAGGTTGCACTTTTGCCATTATATTAGACATAAATAAAATTTTGCCCTCTACGTTATTGTAACTTACCTTCTTAAAAAATGTTTTAGAAATAATAAGATATACATAGTTCTTTTTTAATAATTTTGCTGAGAAAATGTAAAGCAAGCAGCGCACTTGTAAAACAAGCAGCGCAAAGGCTCACCTATATGTGTAGAAGCAATGCTGCTTATAAAAAAGCCTTCGTTATACGGATAAAAATACGTGTTTTATTTTTATCATAAAAATTTTTCATATTTAAGAATTTTGTTAATTCTTGTAAAATTTCTGGGGATCATAAAAATTTTTAAAAAAACATTTTAAATCACAAATAAAATTAATTTTCATTAAGTTTAACGAATAAAATTTAGTATTTATGAGGCTTATCTATTGGATATTTAATTCTCGATATTTTTTAATATTTGTGCAGCTTTACTATTTTGGGAAAATGTTTTATTGAAATGAATAAAAAATATGTACGATTTGGCCATTTTCTGTTTAAAGCATAAAATAAGAATTCTTTCTTAAATGTGATTATGGTGTTGTTCAAATACCAGAAAACAAAGGGAGGACTAAATTTGGCTAACAACATTAATTTTTTACAGATTAATTGAAAGAGAGTGTTTAAAATAAGTTAAGAAACCTTGAGATTTTAAAAAACAAAAGCTAAATACAAAATGATAAAAATTGGATCAACATTAAGCATTGCACTTATAATCAAGTTAAACTAAAGTACTATAATGAAAAAAAAAATTTTATTTCTTAAAATTATATTTTATTTATGGATTATAGCAGCAATTCACACGGATTATTATCAGTTCAGGCATTTTTTAAAGATTTATAGGGATGTAGATATTATTTTATTCTAAAATTAGCTCATCAAACTCTTCCAATTTTATGTCCATTTTGTAATAAATATTTACTGAATAAACATAACAAATAAAATTTTAGCGAGAAAAAAGTTAAGTTGGATGCAATAAATAAATGCTGTTTAAATATTCAGTTCAAATTCTAACGATTTTTGAGTAATAAAAAATCCAAACACTAAATAAGAATTAATATGAGCATGCAGCTTATTACAACTATTGACTCCCAAAATAAAATATTTTTTAAAATGGAATTAATTCAATAAGAAATTCAAGCAAGATGATATCACAGAGGTAATTTAAATATATTCGTTGATAAATAATATAAAATTTAAATTAGTCAAATCACCATAAAGATAAAAGACACTTATCGTCATAAAAGTGTTCATTCCCCTCCCTAACATGTTTAACTGTTGGAAGTTCAGAATAGGCGGTAGCCTTAAATTCTTTTTGATTACGCCAATCAAGTGCTCTCTCATGTATTGTTTTCCAAAGGCAAAAATAGGCTTAAATTAAAATTAATTTTTAAAAATAATTAATTCAAACAACCTGCAGGTTGAAAACTCAAATACATTTTGTGTTGTACAAGTTCTGGTCTTTTAAGCATATAAGGAATATCTTTAATCCCAAAAACACATGAAGCACTAGAATAATGTTGCGCTAAAGATAACAAGGTTTATAAGTTTGCAAATTCAGTTTTAAAGTTTGAACTTAAAAACCTAAGTTCGTAAACTTCGTTTATAAATTTACCAACATTTTTTCAAGTTTATTTAAACAAAGTTTAATTTCTTTAAGTTTAATCTTAAATGTTTGTAATGTTTATTTCAAGTTTGATTTAATTTAAGTTTGCAATTTTTTATGATATTAAAACTTGAGTTTGTAAAACTCTCTTTTAAAATTTATTTTCAAAACTTAAGATTGATTTTTTAGGTTTGAACTTAAAACTTTTTAAGTTTGATCTTTTAAGTTTGAACTTAAAAAAGTTTGTAAATGTTGTTTTTCAAGTTTAATTAAATTTAAGCTTGTAAATTCTGTTTTTAGAGTTTGAACTTAAACTTTAGGTTAGTTAATTTTCTTTTCAAGTTTATTCTTAAAACTTTAAGTTTGAAACATTAAAAACCACCAGAGATGTTTCGAAATTTCGATTTTCGATTTTCGTTTTTCGATTTTCGAGGTTTTTTTCCTTTCGATTTTCGATTTCCGATTTTCGAAATTTTGTGATATTTTCGATTTTCGATTTCCGAATTTTTGAAAAAATTTAAATTTTTGGCGCCAAAAAAGAGGAATTCTGACTTATAGGCCATCATAAATTTAAAAAATTTTCGCCTGCGGCGCAGAGAAAGGAAGATTTCTGGCTTAAGGTTCTTCCAAAATTCTCAAAATTTTGGCCTGCGGCGCTGAAAATGTAAGAATTCTGGTGACTTGGTCTTCCAAAATTCTCAAAATTTTCGCCTGCGGCGCAGAAAAAGGAAGACTTTTGGCTTAAGGATCCATCAAGATTTTCAAAATTTTCGCCTGCGGCGCTAGAAAGGAAAAATTTAATAACTCTGAGTTTTGGATGGATTAAGTTGGACCTTAAGTTATATCGGGAAATTTCAAGGGGCCCAATGTAAAGTGATTTGGGCCTGATATCGAGGGATTAAGTGGGTAAGGTGAATACCATAGAGTTGGATATCTAAGGATTATCGATATTCTCGACTCCCCTCTTATTCTTCCGATATCCCTTCGAATCCGCTGATCTATCCTCCTCTGATATCACTTTTATCCCCCTTGATAAATTCAGAGCCCCTTTTCATCACTCCTTAGCAAAGATTTGAAATGGCAACAGGCGGTGCCAGTAATTCGATTCCTATTCCTATTTTTGGTTTGGATTTAGTGTTCGAACTTTGGATATCCGTTAATTCCCGGGATCTACCGACTAGTCCATACTTTCTTCTAATTTTTTAGAATTAAAGAGTTTCAAATGAGACCTAACACAACAAATATTTTATCTGTAAATTATTTTTCATTTTAAAATTTTTTTCGATTTTCGTTTTTCGATTTTCGTTTTTCGAGGTTATTTTTCTTTCGATTTTCGATTTCGAAGATTTTGAAAAATATTTTCGATTTTCGATTTCGATATTTTTGAATTTATTTCGATTTTCGATTTCCGATTTTCGAAGATTTTTTTGTTTCGAAACATCTCTGAAAACCACTAAAACCTACAATAGCATTTATGTAAAGTAGATGATCCCCAAACTTGATAACGAGAAATATAATAATTATCAGGGAGAAAAGGCTCATTTGGATGTCTTTCAGCCATTGCTTTCACTTCCTCTTCAATAATTGCGTTAACATTTCCTTTTTTATGTTTAAGACACTCCATTCTCTCAAAATGGAAAGCTGCAGCGTTAAATCCTCCGGGAATTTTTAATTCTGAAAATTTTGATTTTCTTTGAGTTTTCAAGTTTAGCCACCTTGTGGATTTCCTGTAACAGTGGTCCAAACAGCTTCATCAGAACATGTTGAATGTTGCAAGAATCTCATTAATTCATGTACTTTAGGACTGGCGACCATTACATTTGCTGCCTCACGCGGAATCAAAGAAGACATACTTGACTTCCATAAGGTTAATGGAGGCTTGATATTCTAAAAATTAAGTTAATGGTTATTTAATTATTTTGTGTGCACCTTAAGTTCTGCACCAAGCCTGCCAGTTTGATATAATGAAACTTCAGTATTGACAGATCCATGAAGTTGCTTAAAAATGCGAACCATCTATAAATACGTAATTTAACGTATATAAAAATTAATAAAAATACTTCCAGATTTGTTTTTAAAGGCAAATCAAATCCACTCAGATACTAAAAATTTATTTAATAAATTAAAATAGGTGCAAGATTTCACCTGAAAATATTTCCAGTCATGTTTACGCTCAGTCAAATAACGAAGGCAACTATAAAGTGAACGAGTTACTCCAAATTCACACCAACCAACATGGTTAACACTTGCCTTTAAAATAAATTTTTGGACACCTAACTCTATGATTAATCCCAACCATAACAAAAATATTCGGAAAACAGTCAGTAAGCAACAACATTGCATCTTTAAATTCTTTACTTGCTTTCTCATCAATCGAAAGACAATAAATATTTTGAGGCTTGAAAAATTAAAAGTTAAGTTTGAGCTTAAAGTGCATACTTGATAAATAGCACTCATCATCATGTAAACTTGGAAAGCTGATTTATACACAAGAATGCCATAGGCAAGAGGAAAATCTCGTTCTTCCTCCGAGAGTGGTTCATTAATAAAAGGAAACTTTTCTTTAAGCCGAGTACATCTGTAAAAGAAAAGATCAAACTTGAAAATTTAAGTTTGTAATTTTCTAGAAAATAGATTTAAGAATCAACTCACCGTTGACTGACAACCTCCCCGCTTTTTGCCAATTCTGCAAACAAATTTTTATCATCATCAACAAAAGCCCATCCTTCCAATTTCTTTTGTTCCTCACTGTCAAGTTTGCCATTACCCATTCGTTCACACCAATTGCCATCCTTTGCCGGAATCCCCTTCACAAATTTTGCAAAACTTGTATTTACCATATTTCTGAAATTTTTAAGAATTTTCTAAAAAATTTCCAAGAATTACCCTAAACGCAAGCTCCTTTCATCCAAATAATTTACTGAATTATCCACATTAGGAGGAGGCTCCGAATAACGCTCTGTGGGCAAATTGCGATAATCACGAGAAACTTCCTTGCTGTTATGAAAGATAAAAGGGGTACCATACCAAAGAAGTGATGAGGCCTGTTAAATAAACAGAAATAAAATTTAAAATTCGGATAGATCAGAAAGAACTACCAAAAATAACACAGCAACAATTAGTAACACAGAAATAATAAAATAAGGAAATCTTGGAGACTTTTGAATCTTTTGCCAAATCGACATGTTTTTAGCTGCTAATTTAACTACAAAATTCTTGATGTTAGAAGATAAAGGATGCATATCTCAACAAGTATTCTTTTATAGTAAGGTGTAGTGACTTGGAATGTTGGAGAGTTAAGATGTGGTTTTCATTTAATTTTAAAATTTAGCTTGCTTAATTTATATGCTTCCTTGTTCAGTCTTAAGCAAATTATAAAATAAAAAGCACTTAAAACTTAAGTTTATAGAAATAGAAACTTAAGTTTCTAATAAATCAGAACTTAAGTTAATAAAAATTTTTTACATAAATCAGAATTTAATTTTCAAAAATAATAAAATTAATAAATTAAAACAGACAGTAATAGACATTTATTAATTTAATTTTTTTAAGTTTAATTGAATTAATTAATTTTTTTATTTCCACTCACTTTGCTTATACATGTCTTTCATCGACTTAAAATCCAATAAAAAATCTAATAAAAAATCTAACATCGAATTAAAAAAATCAATTTTATATGTAAAATTATTTAATAAATTCAAACATATTTATTTATAATTAAAGCTATAATTAATAAAATTAAATGTTAAAAAAAGATATAAAAATAAAATTTAAATTAGTCAAATCACCATAAAGATAAAAGACACTTATCGTCATAAAAGTGTTCATTTCCTTCCCTAACATGTTTAACTGTTGGCAGTTCAGAATAAGCGGTAGCCTTAAATTCTTTTTGATTACGCCAATCAAGTGCTCTCTCATGTATTGTTTTCCAAAGACAAAAATAGGCTTAAATTAATTAATTTTTAAAAATTATTAATATCGGAAAACCTGCAGGTTGAAAACTCAAATACATTTTGTGTTGTACAAGTTCTGGTCGTTTAAGCAAATAAGGAATATCCTTAATGCCAAAAACACATGACTCGAGTCTATAACGCTGTGCTAAAAATAGGGATTTTGAGTTCGCAAATTATTTTTTGAGCTTGAGCTTAAAGTTAAGCATGCAATCCGAATTACAAGTTTATTTATAAAATATTAAGTTTGACTTTAAAAAAGGTTGTAACTGTAAAATTAAGTCTGCAAATTATTTTAAAGGTTGAGCGTAAGCTTAAGTTGTTTACGAACTTCTTTTCTTATTTTTTAAACCATTGTTAGATTTTTAAAGTTTAATCTTAAAAAAGTTTGTAATGTTGTTTTAAAGTTTAATTTATTTCAAGTTTGAAATTCTGTTTGATTATATTTAAGTTTTAAGTTCATAAACTTTCTTTTCAAGTTTATTTTAAAATCAAGTTTGAAACATTAAAAATCTCTATAAACTTACAGCAACATTTATGTAAAGTAGATGTACCCCAAACTTGATAACGAGAGATATAATAATTGTCAGGGAGGAAAGGCTCATTTGGATGTCTTTCAGCCATTGCTTTCACTTCCTGTTCAATGATTGCTGTAATATTTCCTTTTTTATGTTTAAGACACTCCATTCTCTCATAATGGAAAGCTGCAGCGTTAAATCCTCCGGGAATTTTTAATTCTAAAAATTAAACAATTTTATTTTACGTGGTGTTGAAGACCAGACTTTTTAGGAAATAATTAAGAATCAAAATAATATTTTAAACACCTTGTGGATTTCCTGCAACAGTAGTCCAGACAGTTTCATCAGAACAAATTGTCTGTTCCAAGAATCTCAGCAATTCATGCACTTTAGGACTGGAAACCATTACATTAGCTGCTTCACGGGGAAACAAAGAAGACATACTTGACTTCCATAAGGGTAACGGGGGCTTGATATTCTACATTTAATATTTATTTTTTCATAGATTGTGACTCACCTTAAGTTCTGCACCAAGCCGGTTAGTCGGATACAAAGAAACTTGCATATTGATAGATCTATTTAGTTGCTTAAAAATTCGAACCATCTGTAAGAAATTTACATTATAAAATATGTATAATAAATATACTTCCAGATTTGTTTTCAAAGGCAAATCAAATCCACTCAGGTACTAAAAAAAGCATCTAATTAGTAAATTTCTTTTATTTAACTTGAAAATATTTCCAGTCATGCTTATGTTCAGTCAAATAACGAAAGCAATTATAAAGCGAACGAGCTACTCCAAATTCACACCAACCAACAGGGTTTACACTTGCCTTTAAAATAATTTTTTGGACACCTAACTCTATAATTATACCTCACCATAACAAAAATATTCGGAAAACAGTCAGTAAGTAATAACATTGAATCTTTAAATTCTTTACTTGATTTTTCATCAATCGAAATACAATAAATATTTTGAGGCTGAAAATTAAAAAGAATTATAAAGCATTTAATTTCTAGGCGGCGGGCTGTCTGTTCGCTCCCAGCCGTCGAATAACCTTTTGCACTAGCTGAAGGAGAGAAATATCTAACGCCAAGCTGTGTTGTATTAGAACTTAAGTTTTAAAGGCATACATGATAAATAGCACTCATCATCATGTAAACTTGAAAAGCTGATTTATACACAAGAATGCCATAAGCAAGAGAAAATTTCCTTTCTTCCTCGGAGAGTGGTTCATCAATGAAAGGAAACTTTTCTTTAAGGCGAGTACATCTTAAAAGAAAAGAGCAAACTTGAAAACTTAAGTTTGTAATTTCCTAAAAGTAAACTTAAGAATCAACTTGCCGTTGACTGACAACCTCTCCACTTTTTGCCAGTTCTGCAAACAAAGTTTTGTCATCATCAACAAAAGCCCATTCTTCCAATTTTTTATGTTCCTCACTGTCAAGTTTGCCATTCCCCATTCGTTCACACCAATTGCCATCCTTTGCTGGAATCCCCTTCACAAATTTTGCAAAGCTTGTATTTATCATATTTCTGAAATTTAAAGAGTAATCTTAATTTTCTAAAATTCACCCTAAACGCAAACTCCTTTCATTCAAATAATTTTCCAATTTATCCACATCAAGGGGAGACTCCATAGGCAAACTGCGATAATCTCGAATAGAAGAGACTTCACTACTGTCCGAAAGGCTATAACAATTGCCATACCAAGGAAGTGATGAGGCCTATTTAAATAATAAATAACGAATTGAGAATTGAGATAGATTAAAATCAAAAAACACACCATAAATAACAAAGCAACAAGTAGCAATAAAGAAATAAAAAAAGAAGAAAAACTTGAAGACTTTTGAATCTTTTGCCAAGTCGACATTTTTTGAAATTAATAATAAAAAAAGATTTACTAAACATTTTAATTTCTTTAAATATGAGCCCTCTCCCTTGAGTTAAGCGCATTAATTATAATTATTAAAATGCGGCAAAATATTTTCAAAATTGTAATTTGGTTATTATTCTTATGTTCCTAATAGAGTTACCTATTTTTGGGAGAAATATCAGAGTTATAAGAATAAGTTGGCAGGATTTAGAGGTAAAATACAAAAATTTGTAGTTCTAAAACTTGGCAACTTCTAACTTCTAAGCAATTTTAAAATGCCGCTCGCTTAGTTTCGTTTTTGGTAAAAATAAAATAGAACAATAAACTTGAAATAAATCTGAATATTATTATTACTACTATTAATTTAATTTTTTTCAAGTTATGTAAAACTAATTCTCCGATCATCGCTTATTCATATCAAATTAATAAAAAAAGCCATTTTTATATAACAAATTATTTAATAAATTTAAAATTTTATAACTAAAGCTATAATGTACATAGAACATAAGGATGCCTTTTAGCCGTTGATTTCACTTCCTGTTAATAATTGCTGTAACATTTCTTTTTTTATGTTTAAGACACTCCATCGATCAACAGAAAATGCACCTTTTTCACACACTTTTTTGAAAATTAAATAAAAATTAAATCTAATCACGCAGTGTATTTACAATTAAAAAATCCCAAAAGAAAAAATTTTTTAAATGAAATTTATTCTTTTTTTCAGAATTTAAAATTAAATTCTTCTATTTTAACATTAAAAGTAAATAAACGTAAAAAATCTATTTATAATAGAAAAAGTTATTTAGCCGACCCGATCCCCGTAATCGGGAATAAAGGAATTTCCGTTTTAATTTTTAAATCGCAAACGCAATTTGCAATTAAGTGCATCCCTGATCAGGAAAAATACTGACTGTTTTACCGATTCTTACTTGATTCACGTAAATCAGAAATTCTTTTTTTCAAGAAAATATAAAATGAATCTATAAAATGTGAGATGCAAATGAAGTACATTCGAAAGGATTTGGCGACAACCAACTCTTGTATAATAAGTCAACATGTTTATTTATAATTATAGCTATAATTACTTGAAATCACTTGATATCCACCCTCGGAATCAGTTGATATCCCAGATAAACCTCCAAATCACTCGATATCTCTCCAAATCAATCTTAATCACAGCCTCAGATATACCTGATCAGGAGTGATACTGACTGCTTTCACGATTCCCGATTCCAAAATCGGAAATGCCCGATAGTTTTTAAAACATTTGTACATATTAATTTAATTTTTTTTTTCAAATTGAATCTAAATCTCCTATTCCCAATCAACTGGCTTATTCATATTAGATGTCGGCAAAATCGCATTTCCGGGATCCCGAGTCGGGATCTATTTCCTAAACGATGCAGGGACGAGATCCCGAAAAATAAATCCCAAAAATCAAAAAATCCGGGATTCGGGATCCCGGAAAATCCCATCGGGACCCGTCCCGCGCCGACCTCTAATTCATATCGAATTAATAAAAAATTCATTTTATATAACAAATTATTTATTTAATAAATTAAAAATTTTATAATTAAAGCTAAATATAATCATTAATTAATATATTAAGTGATACACGTGAAAAACAGAGTGATATCACAGAGGTCAAAAATAGAGTTTTTTAATATAAATCCCGTACTTTAAAAAATTCTTTTGAAATTACTATTGTAAATGCTGTAAACGAATAAAGAATTCCATTTTTTGGAGAATTATGGTTAATAAAAAAGTCGCTTAATAAGCAAAAAAAAATTTCGGTTAAAGCATTAACAATAGAATTTTTGAAATAGAAAAATTGAGGAAGAAACAGTATTTTAAGTGATTGTCAATATATAAGAGTAATAAAAAAAATAAAATTTAAATTAGTCAAATCACCATAAAGATAAAAGGCACTTATCGTCATAAAAGCGTTCAATCCCCTCCCTAACATGTTTAACTGTTGGCAGTTCAGAATAGGCGGTAGCCTTAAATTCTTTTTGATTACGCCAATCAAGTGCTCTCTCATGTATTGTTTTCCAGAGACAAAAATAGGCTTAAATAAATTTAAATTAATTTATTGAATTATTAACATCGGGAACCGGCAGGTTGAAAACTCAAATACATTTTGTGTTGTAAAAGTTCTGGTCTTCTAAGCATATAGGGAATATCATTAATTCCATAAACACATGAAGCACTAGCAAAGTTTTGTGCTAAAAATAAAGTTTTTAAGTTTGTAAACTTTCTTTTTAGGTTTATTTTTAAAACTTTGATTTTTAAGTTTGATCTTAAAAAAGTTTGTAAATATTTTTCAAGTTTGATTTAATCCAAGTTTGAAACATTTGTTTTAAGCTTGAACCTAAACTTAAGTGCTCTTTTCAAGTTTAGTTTTAAAACAAGTTTGACTTTCTTAAGTTTAAACTTAAACATAATTTAAAAAGTTGTTTTAAGGTTTAATTTAAGTTCGCAAATTCTGTTTTAAGTTTGAGCTTAAACTTAAATTTACAAACTTTATTTTCAAGTTTATTTTTAAAGCTTTGTTGTATTTTTTAAGTTTGATCTTAAAATGCTGGTAAATATTGCTTTTCAAGTTCATTTAAGTTTGTAAATATTGTTTTAATGTTTTAGCTAAACTTAAGTTTATAGCCCTTTCATGTTTATTTTTAAACTTAAGTTTACATAAACTAAAAAACCTACAATAACATTTGTGTAAAGTAGATGTACCCCAAACTTGATAACGAGAAATATAATAATTGTCAGGAAGAAAAGGCTCATTTGGATGTCTTTCAGCCATTGCTTTCACTTCCTGTTCAATGATTGCTGTAATATTTCCTTTTTTATGTTTAAGACACTCCGTTCTTTCAAAATGGAAAGCTGCAGCGTTAAATCCTCCGGGAATTTTTAATTCTGAAAATTTTGATTTTCTCAGTTCGACTTTATTTTTAACCACCTTGTGGATTTCCTGTAATAGTGGTCCAAACAGCTTCATCAGAACAGTCTGAGTGCTGCAAGAATCTCATCAATTCATGTACTTTAGGACTGGCCATCAAGACATTAGCTGCTTCACGTGGAACCAAAGAAGACATACTTGACTTCCATAAAGTTAATGGGGGCTTGATATTCTATAAATGATTAATATTTATTGTTCACTTCATTTTTGTATCTTACTTTAAGTTCTTGATCAAGCCTGCCAGTCTGATACACAGAAACTTCGGTATTGATAGATCCATGAAGCTGCTTAAAAATTCGAACCATCTGTTAAAAATACAGATTTTAAAAAAATAAAAATTGATAGAGATATGTACCTCCAGATTTGTTTTCAAGGGCAAATCAAATCCACTCAAATACTAAAAACGTTAATAGATAAGCGAATATTAAAAAAATTTTTTCACTTGGAAATATTTCCAGTCGTGTAAATATATAAATATTCCCAGCCGTCGAATAACCTTTTGCACTAGCTGAAGGAGAGAAATATCTAACGCCAAGCTGTGTTGTATTAGAACTTAAGTTTTAAAGGCATACATGATAAATAGCACTCATCATCATGTAAACTTGGAAAGCCGATTTATACACAAGAATGCCATAAGCAAGTGGAAATTCCTTTTCTTCTTCTGAAAGAGGTTCATCAATAAAAGGAAACTTTTCTTTAAGGCGAGTACATCTTAAAAATAAAATAACAAGCTTCATGTTTGTAAGTTTGTATAATGAACTTGAAAACTTAAGTTTGTAATTCTCTAAGACTTAAGAATCAACTTGCCGTTGACTGACAACCTCTCCACTTTTTGCCAGTTCTGCAAACAAAGTTTTGTCATCATCAGCAAAAGCCCATCCTTCCAATTTTTTATGTTCTTCACTGTCAAGTTTGCCATTACCCATTCGTTCACACCAATTGCCATCCTTTGCAGGAATCCCCTTCACAAATTTTGCAAAACTTGTATTTATCATATTTCTGAAATTTTTGAGAGTAATCTTAATTTTCTAAAATTCACCCTAAACGCAAACTCCTTTCATTCAAATAATTTTCCAATTTATCTACATCAAGGGGAGACTCTACAGGTAAACTGCGATAATCTCGAATGGAAGAGACTTCACTACTGTCCGAAAGGCTATAACAATTGCCATACCAAGGAAGTGATGAGGCCTATTTAAATAATAAATAACGAATTGAGAATTGAGATAAATTAAAATCAAAAAACACACCATAAATAACAAAGCAACAAGTAGCAATAAAGAAATGAAAAAAGAAGAAAAACTTGAAGACTTTTGAATCTTTTGCCAAGTCGACATTTTTTGAAATTAATAATAAAAAAAGATTTACTAAACATTTTAATTTCTTTAAATATGAGCCCTCTCCCTTGAGTTAAGCGCATTAATTATAATTATTAAAATGCGGCAAAATATTTTCAAAATTGTAATTTGGTTATTATTCTTATGTTCCTAATAGAGTTACCTATTTTTGGGAGAAATATCAGAGTTATAAGAATAAGTTGGCAGGATTTAGAGGTAAAATACAAAAATTTGTAGTTCTAAAACTTGGCAACTTCTAACTTCTAAGCAATTTTAAAATGCCGCTCGCTTAGTTTCGTTTTTGGTAAAAATAAAATAGAACAATAAACTTGAAATAAATCTGAATATTATTATTACTACTATTAATTTAATTTTTTTCAAGTTATGTAAAACTAATTCTCCGATCATCGCTTATTCATATCAAATTAATAAAAAAAGCCATTTTTATATAACAAATTATTTAATAAATTTAAAATTTTATAACTAAAGCTATAATGTACATAGAACATAAGGATGCCTTTTAGCCGTTGATTTCACTTCCTGTTAATAATTGCTGTAACATTTCTTTTTTTATGTTTAAGACACTCCATCGATCAACAGAAAATGCACCTTTTTCACACACTTTTTTGAAAATTAAATAAAAATTAAATCTAATCACGCAGTGTATTTACAATTAAAAAATCCCAAAAGAAAAAATTTTTTAAATGAAATTTATTCTTTTTTTCAGAATTTAAAATTAAATTCTTCTATTTTAACATTAAAAGTAAATAAACGTAAAAAATCTATTTATAATAGAAAAAGTTATTTAGCCGACCCGATCCCCGTAATCGGGAATAAAGGAATTTCCGTTTTAATTTTTAAATCGCAAACGCAATTTGCAATTAAGTGCATCCCTGATCAGGAAAAATACTGACTGTTTTACCGATTCTTACTTGATTCACGTAAATCAGAAATTCTTTTTTTCAAGAAAATATAAAATGAATCTATAAAATGTGAGATGCAAATGAAGTACATTCGAAAGGATTTGGCGACAACCAACTCTTGTATGATAAGTCAACATGTTTATTTATAATTATAGCTATAATTAATTGAAATCTCTTGATATCTACCCTCAGAATCAGTTGATATCACAGATAAACCTCCAAATCACTCGATATCTCTCCAAATCAATCTTAATCACAGCTCCAGATATACCTGATCAGGAGAGATACAGACTGCTTTCACAATTACTGATTCCAAAATCGGAAATTCCCGATAGTTTTTAAAAATTTGTAATAATTTAATCTTTTTCAAATTAAATCTAAATCTCCTATTCCCAATCGAAAGCTTATTCATATCGAATTAATAAAAAAAATCCATTTTATATAGAAATTATTTATTTAATAAATTAAAATTAATTAATATATTAAGTGATACACGTGAAAAACAGAGTGATATCACAGAGGTCAAAAATAGTTTTTAATATATGAATATAAATCCCGTAATTTAAAAATTCTCTTGAAATTAATATTGTTTAAATGCTGTAAACGAATAGAGAATTTCATTTTTTGGAGAATTTTGATTAATAAAAAAGACGCTTATGAAGCTAAAAAATTTCACTTAAAGCATTAACAATAGAATTTTTGATATAGAAAAATTGAGGAAGAAGCAGTATTTTAAGTGATTGTCAATATATGAAAATAATAAAAAAATAAAATTTAAATTAGTCAAATCACCATAAAGATAAAAGACACTTATCGTCATAAAAGCGTTCATTCCCCTCCCTAGCATGCTTAACTGTTGGAAGTTCAGAATAGGCGGTAGCCTTAAATTCTTTTTGATTACGCCAATCAAGTGCTCTCTCATGTATTGTTTTCCAAAGGCAAAAATAGGCTTAAATTAAATTAATATTTAAAAATAATTAATTTAAACAACCTGCAGGTTGAAAACTCAAATACATTTTGTGTTGTGAAAGTTCTGGTCTTCTAAGCATATAGGGAATATCATTAATTCCATAAACACATGAAGCACTAGCAAAATTTTGTGCTAAAAATAAAAAAAGTTTTTAAGTTTGTAAATTTATTTTTAAAGTTTGAACATATATACTTAAGTTCGTAAACTTTCTTTTCAGGTTTATTTTTAAAACTTTGATGTCTAAGTTTGATCTTAAAAAAGTTTGTAAATGTTTTTTTCAAGTTTGATTTAATCCAAGTTTGAAACTTTTATTTTAAGCTTACACCTAAACTTAAGTGTGCAATATCTTTTCAAGTTTATTTTCAAAAAAGTTTGATTTCTTTAAGCTTGAACTTAAACACAATTTAAGTTTGCAAATTCTGTTTTAAAGTTTGAGCTTAAACTTAAATTTACAAATCTTTCTTTTCAAGTTTATTTTTAAAGCTTTGTTGTATTCCTTAAGTTTGAACTTAAAATGGTGGTAAATATTGATTTTCAAGTTCATTTAAGTTTGTAAATCTTGTTTTAATATTTGAGCTTAAACTTATGAACTTAAAATTAACTTAAACTTAAAACTTAAGCTTAAACTTTTATCATTTATTTTTAAACTTAAGTTTACATAAACTATAAAACCAACAATAACATTTATGTAAAGTAGATGAACCCCAAACTTGATAACGAGCGATATAATAATTATCAGGGAGAAAAGGCTCATTTGGATGCCTTTCTGCCATTGCTTTCACTTCCTGTTCAATAATTGCTGTCCAATTTCCTTTTTTATGTTTAAGACACTCCATTCTTTCAAAATGGAAAGCTGCAGCGTTAAATCCTCCAGGAATTTTTAATTCTGAAAATTTTGATTTTCTCAGTTCGAGTTTTAAATTTTAACCACCTTGTGGATTTCCTGTAATCGTGGTCCAAACAGCTTCATCAGAACAATCTGAGTGCTGCAAGAATCTCATCAATTCATGCACTTTAGGACTGGCCATCATTACATTAGCTACTTCACGTGGAACCAAAGAAGACATACTTGACTTCCATAAGGTTAATGGAGGTTTGATATTCTACAAAGGTTTAATATTTATTATTGTTCACTTAATTTTTGCAAGTCACTTTAAGTTCTGCACCAAGCCTGCCACTTTGATACAAAGAAACTTCCATATTTATAGACCCATGAAGTTGTTTGAAAATTCGAACCATCTGTTAAAAAATACATAATTTAACGAATATGCAAATTAATAAGGATACTTCCAAATTTGTTTTTAAAGGCAGATCAAATCCACTCAGATACTAAAAATGTATTTAATAAAAATAGGTGCAGGATTTCACCTGAAAATATTTCCAGTCGTGTTTCCTCTCAGTCAAATAACGAAGGCAATTGAAAAGTGAACGAGTTATTCCAAATTCACACCAACCAACAGGGCCAACACTTGCCTTAAAAAAGGTTAAAACGATTTTATAATTAATCCCAACCATAACAAAAATATTTGGAAAACAGTCAGTAAGCAATAACATTGAATCTTTAAATTCTTTACTTGATTTTTCGTCAACCAAAATACAATAAATATTTTGAGGCTTAAAAAAGAATTGAATTCAAGCTTTATTTCAAAGCGCATACTTGATAAATAGCACTCATCATCATGTAAACTTGGAAAGCCGATTTATACACTAGCATGCCATAGGCAAGTGGAAATTCCCTTTCTTCTTCTGAAAGAGGTTCATCAATGAAAGGAAATTTTTCTTTAAGTCGAATACACCTGTGAAATTAAAGAGCAAACTTAAAAATAAATTAAGTTTGTAATTTTCTAAGGATAAACGTTAAAGGTAAGTTTGTAATCTCGAAAAATAAACTTGAAAATAAACTTGAGAACTCAAGTTTTCTTAAGGGTAAACTTAAGAGGTCGAGCTTTAATTCTAATAAATAAACTTGAAAATAGTTAAGTTTGTAATTTAGAAAAATAAACTTGAAAATAGTTAAGTTTGTAAGTTCGACGAATAAACTTGAAAATATTCAAGTTTGTAATTTAGAAAAATAAACTTGAAAATATTCAAGTTTGTAATTTAGAAAAATAAACTTGAAAATATTCAAGTTTGTAATTTAGAAAAATAAACTTGAAAATATAAAATTTGTACTTTTGTCTAAACTTATAAATATTATCAAGTTTGTAATTTCTTATAAATAAACTTGAAAATGAATTACGTTTGAAGTTAAATTGGTTATTTAAAAAATATCAACTAAAATTTCTACTCACTGATTATTGACAGTCTCCCCAGGTTTTATTGACTCCTCTGTAGAAAAAGTTTTGTCTTCGTTAGTAAAAGCCCATCCTTCCAATTTTTTATGTTCCTCACTGTCAAGTTTGCCAATACCCATTCGTTCACACCAATTTCCGTCCTTTGCTGGAATCTCCTTCACAAATTTCGCAAAACTTGTATTTACCATATTTCTGAAATTATGAGGTTAATCTTAATTTTCTAAAATTTCAAGAATTACCCTAAACGCAAACTCCTTTCATTCAAATAATTTTCTGATTTTTCCACAATAGGCGCAATTTCCAAATAACGTTCCACAGGCAAATTGCGATAATCAGGCATACGATGGTAGGAAACTACCCTTCGGTCATATAAGCTGTAAGGTGTGCCATACCAAAGAAGTGATGACACCTATTTAAATATTTTTATTAATATCAGAATTCTACGATCAGAATTCTAGTCTGTGATGAAAAACAAAAAGAAAAATAATTTAGAGTTCTGATCGGTTAAAAAAATTAAAAATCACCATAAATAGCAAAGCAACAAGTAGCAAAAAAGAAATAAGGGAAGAAGGAAATCTTGGAGACTTTCGATATTTTTGCCAAGTCGACATTTTTGAATCTAAAATTCTAATTTTTAAAATTATCAATAATTGAAGTAAAGAAATTGAAAAAAATTGTTTAAAGCTCTCAGTTAAAATAAAAAGATTAAAGTAAACAGAGAGGAGAAACCAGGCAAAAATTTACCTATACAATTTTTGTTTGCTAATACAGAAATTAGAGGAATTTTGGGGAAAAAGAGCAATAATAATGTTTAAAAATATTAAAAGATCAATAAATAAAAAATCAAAATATTTAAAATATTTTTTTAAAAATATTCCCAACCCAAATGAGTCAAAATTAATTTATAAATTAAATTATGTAGGCTTAAAGGTAAATAAATAGAGGTTAAAGTATAAGAGGTAATAAACGGCACGTAGTCAATAAATAAATAAACTTATTAAGTACCTACTAGTCTTTATTAAGTAAAATGAGGTTTTTTTACTTCAATTGTATTTTTTAATGCTACAATTTTTTTAATAAGAAGTAAAGATTAAAAATTAAATAAGAAGGCAATAAATAATTTAAAATTAATTTAATTTATTTATGGCGTTATGTATAAATTTTAAAAACTTTTGCGTAATTAAAAAATATAAAATTAGGGAAGGTAGAGAACATGTTCTGAGGGTAATTTAGAAAATTTTTGGCGAATTTTGTTTTTAAAATAATTTTTTTCCTATTTGATTATTTTTTATTTGAAAAAGGATTAACAAAAATTTTGATAAAAATTCGCAACAAAAAATAATGAAGGGATTATAATATCAAAATATTTTTTTAAAAATGGAATAGAAGTGTATAAATTGGAAATGATCAAAAAAATATTCACTAGAGGAATAATTAAAAACTTGTATTAGAGTAATTTGAGATCAGACTTAAATTTAAATTTTAAAATTAAAAAATTACAAACTTGAAATAAATTGCACACTTCAATTTAACTTATACAAACTTGAATTTATTAAAACTTGAAGAATTAAAACTTGAATAGATTACAAACTTGAAAACAAAACTTGAATTTAAAATTTACTTTACTACAAACTTGAATTTATTAAAACTTTAATGTAAAACTTGAAAACTTAAAAATTATGAGCATTAAATTCAAGTTCGTATAAACAAACTTAAATTTATTAAAACTTGATCAAATTGCAAACTTAAAAAATGTAAAATTAAATTTAACTTTAATAAAATACAAACTTGAAAAAATTAAAGCTTTAATTTTAATTTCGCAAACTTAAATTTATTAAAACTATAAATTTATTTATAGCTGGAATAAATTAAAAACTTGGCTAGATTACATCGAGTAACTTAAAATATTTAATTTTTATTAATTTTAAATAATTTAAAATAAAGCAAAAATCTAAACAAACATCAAAATTAGATGGAAAAATTTAAATAAAATGAAATTGAGAAAATTAATAAAATCAATTAAAAAGATTTTTTAAAATAAAATTCACGTGTCATGATAAAAGCTGTGAGAAAAATTTAAATGTTTTATAAAATTAATTTACATTAATTTAAGTATTCTAAATATTAAAGAAACGTTGCCATAACAAAGCATTAAATTTATTGTTTTTAGGGGTGTAAATATTTATTAATATTTATGAAAAATTTTTAAAAATTTTTAAAAATGATTTTTGGGCTGTTTTCTATTTATTTTATCAGTCAACGTTCTATACCTTCAGACTTCCCTCAATAATTTCAGGGGTTCTTTACCTTGAAGTCGGTAAAAGAGGCTTTAAGCTTGGACGATTTGGAGCTAAAATGTGTCTTGACTGACTTAATATATTTAAAACAAGCTCGAAAATTTTTTATTTATTTCTCAAAGAATTTTAGCAAGCGCCCTTTATGTCTTAAAATTTTTATTATACCGTGATTTGATATTTTAATAAATTTAATGATTGTTTTTGGACGTTAAATTTGTACAATAAAAGCTTTGGAAAAATCGAGAGGATGGTAAATATTTTGTTAGACAGTCAATCGACGTTCTGCTGGCGTTGAGTGATAGGGGGTAGATGAATGGGAATAAATTCATATGAATAAACATTGCTGTATTTTATGGCCAAGTAATGCTTAACAATAAAATAAATCGATTTTGACTTTTTACAAAATTTTTTTTATTAATTTTTATTTTTTAAATTAAAAATATTAGAAATTAAATAATTAAAAAATTTTTTGAAATATTTTTTGATGCTATAAAACTGGTTTAAGTAACATCAATTTAGAGATAAAGCTGGACCTGGAGCAAGACCTGGGGTATTTCCTGTACCTAGAGTCCAGCTCCAACATTTTTTGACCTTCCTGGGGTTTTACCTAGACCTGGGTTTTTCCTGGACTACTGGCCCAGGATCCAGTCCAGGTCAATAAATCAAACTTCAGAGTTCAGGAACAGGTCCAGGCTTGTACCTACAAGTTATAACTGCGTTCAAGTTATTGAATCCGGACGCCCAGGTTTAGGAAATGCGTCCCAGGTGTCTCATTAAAGTCTCAAAAATAGTTTACATCAGCCCAGACCTGATAAGTACCCTCAAGAAAGAAGAAATATAGAGGAAGAAAATACTAAATTAAATTCTTTTATGTAGTAGATTGGATAGTGAAGTTGACGATGATTTTAATGAGAAAAATGTTCATTTAATACTCTAAATTTGTTTATAGAATTTCTAATAGGTATAAATTTTACAAAATTTTAAAAAAATTTCAGAAAAATAATTATAAAGGGACCATCAGGAAAGTTGTGACGATTTTTAAAATTTCCCCTTTCTGACCATTTTGAAAAATAATACGTTTAGGTATATCGTGTATTTTACGCGTATAGGCATTTTTGATTAAATAAGAGAAAAGTTAAGGAAGACTGAAGCAGGCAGAGAAAAGCAAAATTATTAAAGAAGGAATAAATATTTGTGTTCTATGTATGTAATTTATGTTTTATGTATGTAATTTATTTCCCGGTGAAAATTTATAAATTGCAGAGCTTAAGTTTTAAATTTTATTACCCAACATTCGGGCGCCCCATAAAGTCCACTTCTTTTGCGGGTGGCAATCAAGTCCCCCTGCCTTCGTGCAGGGGGCAACTCAAGTCCCCCTGCCTTCGTGCAGGGGGCAACTCAAGTCCCCCTGCCTTCGTGCAGGGGGCAACTCAAGTCCCCCTGCCTTCGTGCAGGGGGCAACTCAAGTCCCCCTGCCTTCGTGCAGGGGGCAACTCAAGTCCCCCTGCCTTCGTGCAGGGGGCAACTCAAGTCCCCCTGCCTTCGTGCAGGGGGCAACTCAAGTCCCCCTGCCTTCGTGCAGGGGGCAACCCAAGTCCCCCTGCCTTCGTGCAGGGGGCAACCCAAGTCCCCCTGCCTTCGTGCAGGGGGCAACTCAAGTCCCCCTGCCTTCGTGCAGGGGGCAACCCAAGTCCCCCTGCCTTTGTGCAGGGGGCAACCCAAGTCCCCCTGCCTTCGTGCAGGGGGCAACTCAAGTCCCCCTGCCTTCGTGCAGGGGGCAACTCAAGTCCCCCTGCCTTCGTGCAGGGGGCAACTGGGCAACCCAAGTCCCCCTGCCTTCGTGCAGGGGGCAACTCAAGTCCCCCTGCCTTCGTGCAGGGGGCAACTCAAGTCCCCCTGCCTTCGTGCAGGGGGCAACCCAAGTCCCCCTGCCTTCGTGCAGGGGGCAACCCAAGTCCCCCTGCCTTCGTGCAGGGGGCAACCCAAGTCCCCCTGCCTTTGTGCAGGGGGCAACCCAAGTCCCCCTGCCTTTGTGCAGGGGGCAACCCAAGTCCCCCTGCCTTCGTGCAGGGGGCAGAAATTTTGGAAGTCCCTGCTTCGGCGGGGGCATTTAAACTCTGTTAAAAGAAAATGCCTGAAAATTTTCCCAAGTTTAATCTCTCCTGCCCGTCTAACTTTAATGAAGAAGGGAATGAAAGAAGCAACATCCATGCTATAATGGGAGATATTTATTTCCATATACACTATGGATTTATCAAAATTTATTTTATACTATTTATTTAAAGATATCTTTGTCCTTTAACTTTTTAACACTCAATTTCACTCAAAATTAAAATTTTATCCAAAAAATTCAAAATAAACTGACACAAATTTTCTCTTTTATTTTCACTTCAATTATGAATTTGCTGATTTTTTTCTTTTTTTTTGCTTCAATTTAATTCAGAACGCGTGCAATTTCCTCTTTTCCCTTATTTCCAGCCTTCCAATTCAACATTCAATTTATTTCCTCCCAAAAAAGTTGTTCACCAAATCCGGAAACGAGGAAATGCTTGAGGGAGGGGGAAGACCCTTACACGCCCATATAGATGCATAAAAGTCACAAAAATTGCAGATTGCGTGAAATAAAAAGGAGGGAGAGGAGGAAAAGGAAAAGCAGGAGAAGAACCCCACAAAACCCCGGAACTGCTTCTTTATTTTATTTTTTTTCCATTGAATTTCCCCTCATTCATTCTCCCCCATTCTCCCTCAATTTTCTCTCAAAGCTTTCTCTCTCTTTTACAATTTTATTCCAAATCCCCAGTCAACCGGTAGAATTAAAAATAAAATAAATCTGGTGTGAATCTGGTTTTGCTTGGTATAAAATCACAAAAATTTTTGTAAGCTTTCCACAAAAATAAATTTTCTTCAATTCTAAAAAATAAAAGCAAATGCCTTTAAAAATCAAAATCTCGTTAATTGTAATCACCTCAACACTATTTTCTCTAATTGCTTCCTTGCCAGCTCCTCCAATTTTTGAAAGAGTTCCTCATTATCCTGGATTATGCTATTTACCTCCAGGTATTTTATTTGGTTAATATTTACATATGTATTAGAATTTTTGAAAAAATACAGAACAAGAGGATAATGAAAAGTCCGATAATAGCTTATCATCTAAAGGATTTTGGCCTATAAACAGCCCTTGATTACCTGATCCTTAAGTTACTATGTTTAGAATTCCATTAGAAGCTACCACTCACGTTCAAACTCACTTCTCTCTAAGGATAAGTCGTTCCTCATTCATACAAACTGGCTCATGTCAGTTGGCGAAGCGTGTGTTTTCGTTGATTTTCGAACA